GGGATTACTGCCTGAAGGTAATTCCCTGTTACCTCCTGCACCAACCACGATGCTTGGTCATCATTTCATTTCAACACAATTGCCATGTTCTGTGCCTATCGCAGAGATCATAAGAGTAATGTGGTCATCTCAGATCTAAGATGGAGAGGCCGAGGCCTGGAGAAGATGATAAGAAAGGCACACATGGATGGATTCTAAGGAAAAGTTCAAACTTCAAGGACTATGAGAAGATAGTGATACCTTCATTATTTCTATTGTTCCTGTGTGTGTGTGTGTGTGTGTGTGTGTGTGTGTGTGTGTGTGTGTGTGTGTGAAGGTGGTGCTGGGACTTGAATTCAGGGCCTGCTTTTTGTCACAGTGGTTTTTTTTTTTCCTCTCGTCTAGTGCTCTACCACCTGAGCCACCTTTTGCTTTGAGATGTTTTGTGATTAATTGGAGATAGGATTCCCATGCACTTTGCTACCTGTGCTGACAACTCAGATCTGCAATCATCAGATCTCAGCCTGTCAAGTAGCTAGGATTACAGGCTTGAGACACAGGAACCAAGCTATCTTCATTAGTTACTGTTATTATTATTATTATCATTATTATACTTATTTTAATGACAGTTCTCAGGCTTGAACTCAAGGTGGGGGCTGCTTCTGAGCTTTTGTTCTAAAAGGCTTGTAATCTATCACTTGAGCCATAGCTCTGCTTCCAGCAGTTTGATATTTAACTGGCTGAGTCACATGGATGTTTCTGCCCAGGCTGGCATTGAACCTTGATCATGAGATCTTACTTCCTACATAACTAAGACTGCAGATTGAAACACAGATGCCTTGTAGCGTTTCATGAATTCTTGATGGTGGATTCATTTACCTACTGAGTTAATTGGCTGATTATTAATTCTCTAGAAAAAAAGCAAGGCACAAACAACCAGAAATTTCTGGGTGCTCACTAGTGTCTCATATCTATAATCTTCCCTGCTTTGGAGGTTGAAATCTGAGAATCATGGTTGGAAGCCAGTTGGGGCAGACAAAAATTCTCAAGACCTATCTCCAATCAACTGGAAAAAGTTGGAAGTGGAAGTGGTTCAAATGGTATAGCATAGGCCTTGAGTGAAAAAGCCCACTGAGAAGTTGAGACTCTGAATTCAAGTCTCAATACCTGCACAAAAACAAAATAAAAACCTCAGTAATAACTTATTTCATGAATCATATGAATATCAATTGACTAAACTTTTCCCTATAATTATAACATATTTTATGGTATGTATATATGTATGTATCATGTTGTAAATAAATTTTTATGGATAATTCTGACAATGGGGGCTTATAGGTTAATCCACTTCGTTTAAACTAATAATTGAAGGTTGTTCCACTGGGGAGAAGTGGTAATTGATATCAGGATGTCTGGTTCACATGAGATTTGTCAGGTTATTTTATAGCTCAGAACACCAAGGGATGGAGAGAGAATGCTGTCCTGCTTCCTCTATGTGAAAAAGAACCTCAGCAGATGCAGAGAAGAACTTTCACAAATACTGCACTTTATATAGGAACTGGAAAGTGCTCTGCCAACCTGGGTTTTGATTAAAGATGAAGAGTTGGTTCATGTGATGAAATGTGTCCTCCAGCCACCATCAAAGGGATGGTACCATGAAGTGGGAGGTGGAAGAGTAGGGAGGCAAAAGAAATGGCTAGAACCCCACTTTCCTTAGTGCATTGTTGAGGAGATTTTGTATAAATAGACACTGGTATTGTGTAAGTAGACACAACTTGCATGTCTTCTAATTTCTTGTGAACACTGCCTTCTTTCTATTACTACTGCAGCTAGGGACTTCTTGGATTAATTCTAGTCAGGCTCACTTGGTAGAAAATGAGTCCACAGTCTACCCTAGGTTTAGGTTTCTTTTCAAGGAACGAAGAGGCTGCTGTTTAGAGTAGCAGCTGCCACTCAGCCTGATCCAGCTCCTTGGGTGGGTGGGGCCAGGGCAATCACAAGATTTTCTCCCTTAATCTCCTGGAGAGGAAGCCCAAGGGCAACTGTAAAACTTGGACTTTAGGATTCTAATATAGATATTTGGAATGATTCTGTTGAATTCCATGAACTATTTCCAAAGAACAATCAACAATCTCCTTCCAGTCACTAGCAATGTTGAAAGAAGTGTTCTGGGTTCTTTAAAAAATCTTAGAATGGAATCTGCCTAAATTGACTTTTATAATAGTTTAAGGGAGAGTGAAAAGGTTATCTCTTAGAGAAAGAAGATTCTTTTTTTTTGGTCGGTCGTGGGGCTTGAACTCTGGGCTTGGGCGCTGTCCCTGCACTCTTCAGCTCAAGGCAAGCACTCTACCCCCTTGAGCCACAGCGCCACTTCCAGTTTTCTAGTGGTTTATTGGAGATAAGAGTCTCATGGACTTTCCTGCCCCGGCTGGCTTTGAACCGCGATCCTCAGATCTCAGCCTCCTGAGTAAGCTAGGATTACAGGCGTGAGCCACCAGCGCCCGGCTGAGAAAGAAGATTCTTTTTCACACAATGCTAGGAAAGCCATCTTTTCACATGTAACATGGGTACAGAAATTAATCAAGTGACGCAAATACTTAAACATAAGTGGAAAGATGACAAAAGAAGTAAAAACAGCATAGATGGGACTTTGCAATGGTTTTCAAATATATGAAAATACTAATAATAGAAAAAATAGATAAATTGGACCTCATCATGTTGAAAACCGTTTGAACAATCTTTGGCTCTGGATTAGAGTACAAAGTGAATCCACAGTATATATTTCCCAATCATAGAGGTGATAAGGAATTAAAACCTACAAAATATAAACAGTTCCTAAATAAAACACACTATCACCAGGACTAACAAAACAATGCCATTGAATATTGTCTAAAAGGAGACTTAAGTAAATATTCTTCTCTTGAATATATACAAATAGCAAATAAGTATATGAAAATATGTTTTATATTATATGTATTTCTCCTGAGAGAAATACTCAAATCAGAATCAATGAGATATCAGCTCACAGGCATTAGGGGAAGTATTGAAAGGAAGGAGAAAGAGAAGAAAAGGAATGGAGACAAAAGACAAATGGGAAAGATGGAAAGGTAGAGAAGAATGAAGGGAAAAAGAAACACCAAGGAAGCAAGGAAGGAAGGCAGAATAGAAGGAAAGAAACAAGGAAGAAAGGAATGAAGGAAAATATAATGAAGAGGAGATTATAATTGGAAACAATTGGGCACTGCTGGTGTTAATGAGAATGGGACATGTGCTATGGGAAATACAGGGGAAAAATCAAGCATACAATTACTTATTTAACGATTCCAGTTTTACATACATATACAAAAGAATCAAAGCAAGGCCGTGAACAGACATTTGTACATCCATGTGGATAGGAATATTTCTATAATGCCCAAATAACTCAGATTCCAATAATCAAAATATAGTGTCTACACAGAATAAAATATTAGTCAGGTACAAAAGAAAGGATACTCTGTCTAATGTTACAACATAGAGGAGCCTTGCTAATACTATGCTAAGTGAACTATCCAGACAAATAGATACTGTGTGGTTCTACTTGTGCAGTACTAGGCTATTATAAGTAGCTGTAGTAGAATTCAACAGATTGTGTAATTGATCATGAGAGATTGATTCCTTTGCAGATGAGGAGTGTGAGAAGTTCAATATCAAGGTGCCAGCATCTGGTAAGGCCCTTCCTGCTGGCCTATGCCATCACAGAGGACATCATATGGCAGAAGAGCAGAGGATGAATCCAGGAGAAAGAAGTGGAGCTGACCTTGCCAGAAGGCTGAACAGGTCGTGCCCTGGGGCAGCAGGAGCCAATCACAGTTCAGGAAGTGGGGAGGACTGCAGGCCAGTGAGTGTCCTGAGACTTTAAAACCTGATCTCAGGGCCAGGTGCTTTTAGGACAGCTGTCTTTGGAGAGTTGCACTGCAGAGGGCTCCTGCACAGCTTCAGGTTCAGGTGAGCATGCAGCCCACAGAGGCATGGTGGGAACAGGAATAGAAGGCCTATCAGGGGCAAGGGCACAAGCAGATCAACTTCCATTTCTGCCTCAGCATGGACATTGGGGGCCAGCTGAGAAGGGTGGTGGGGATGGCATAGGGCGGGGGAGTGAAACCCAAGGGTTTTATTCCATCAGCCAGAAGATCTCAGGTCGTGCAGTTTGGTCAGACTCGGGATCTGTCCAGGTTGCATAAGGCAGCTGGATGCCTGCAAACTGCACTGTAATGCTCTCCCATTCTTGAAGCATCAGGTAATACGCTCTTGTGCATCACTACCAGGTCATATCCCCTAACTCCAAGAAAACGTGCAGAGGGCAAATACAGACAGCATGTCCTTGGACACTCACTACCTGGAGTCCTACATGGGCTGACCCAAACCTAAGCATGGAGCCCCATGAGCTACCTGTTCCTGCCCACAGGCTCATCCTTGGGGTTCTGGCTTGCACTCTGTTCATGATCAAGTACATGAACATGACAGCATGTTGTGACATTGAAGGCTGATGTGCAAAACTGTGAGAATGTGGGGTGTTGTCTTCCTAGTTTGTCTAAATGGTTTTACCCAAAAAGGGGAGAAGCCAATGCACAACTCATCCAGTTCTACTGTGCATTGGCTAAAGAGATGTCAGTGGTCTCTGAACTTTTGGGGATATCATTGCCCCTAGCTGAAATCAGACATCCCATGTAGTGAGATGTTTGCTGGAATCCTAAAGTTTAAACCTACCATTATCCTTGCAAACTTTGCTTTAACTCCTAGAGCTCAGGGGAGGATACTCTTCATGCCCGTTGCTTGACAACATACCTCTACTTGGCTGTTTTAAGCCAACTACATTCTTAAACCTTTACATATCTCTGGACAAATATTTGAAAGCCCTATTTTAATATCTAAATCACCAGGGTAGCCTTAATCCTTTTCCAGATAAGACTATTAAAAAGAAGACTATTAAAATCATGAGTCATTTAAGATCCAGCTTCATTTCCCTTTCTAGGCTTTCCAATATGGATCCTTCTCTGTTGCTGGCCATCCTTTGCTTGGGAATGGCTTCAGCTGCTCCAATATTGGATCACAGTTTGGACACACAGTGGATAGAGTGGAAGACAAAATATGGCAAAAGCTACAGCTTGGTAGGTCACATGCAAAGTATTCAGAGGGACCCCACAGATGAGATCCTTGCTGATTTAACTTTATCCAAGCCAGGTCTCCAAGGCAGTCAGCTAATGCCAGTCATATGAGCAGGATATGGGCAGATAGTCTGCTCTTCTCTGACTTCAGAGAACAGCTTCCCCAAATGCACAGCATCCTGGATGAGTCTCTCTCCATCTGTTTTTTTTTTTTGTCAGTCATAGGGTTTGAACTCTCTCCTTGGGTGCTGTCCATGAGCTCTTTAGCTCAAAGAGAGCACTCTACTGCCTGAGGCACAATGCTACTTCTGGTTTTCTAGTGGTTTATTGGAGATAAGGATCTCCTTATCTCCAAGAAAGCAAGTCCTTTCTTGCCCGGGTGGCTTTGAACCATGATCCTCAGGTCTCAGCCTTCTTAGTAGTTAGGATAACAGGCGTGAGCCACTGGCGTCCAGCTTCTCTCCATCTTTGTCAGCAGTTCCATTTAGTGAACTGGGGTTGGGTTTAAGTAGACAGAGCACTCATTCCCTTGTGCTTGTTCCTAGGATGAAGAGGGACGGAGAAGAGTAATATGGGAGGAGAACATGAAAATGATTGAAGTGCACAATGAGGAAGAGCGCCAAGGGAAACATGGCTACACCCTGGAAATGAACGCCTTTGGAGACATGGTAAGTGTCCTGTGTATCAATTGCAACTGGGCTTGCTCTCTTCAGTTCTCTGCAAATGACCCTGCTTTTGAAATACCGTTTCTACCTTTTATTGAAGACCATTGAAGACTTCCATGGAACTGAGTTTCAGCCTGATACGCACAATGAACAACAAATGTATCCAGATCTTCAAATTGGTGAGCTGCCCCCATCTGTGGACTGGAGAGAGAAAGGCTATGTGACCCCTGTGAAGGATCAGGTATGACAGTGTCACTGTGGACCCTTTCACTCCCCATAGCAAAGCCAGGAGTAGTTGTCACTTCCTTTGGCAGACTCTGCAGTGTCATGGAATTCTTGGTTCTTTTTGAAGCCTGTTCACACATAGGAGCTGATGTCAGTGTCTTGCTATTTGCTTTGTGTATGACAGACTTTATTCTCTTATCAGGGTGAATGTAATTCTTGTTGGGCTTTTGGCACAACTGGTACTCTAGAGGGACAGATGTTCAAGAAAACTGGTAGACTGGTCTCCCTCAGTGAGCAGAACCTAGTGGACTGTTCTCGTCCTCAACGAAATGCTGGCTGCAGTGGTGGGCGACCAGATGCTGCTTTCCAATATGTTGAGACCAACGGAGGCCTGGCCTCAGAGGAATCCTACCCCTATGAAGCAACGGTAATTGCAGCTCTGTACCTTGTTGTCACTCCTGCCTGCATTGCAGACAGTCGACCAACTTCAGAGATAAGACTTGCTCTTCCCAATTCACACTTCAGATGACAGGATCTTTTTCTGTCAACTCTCTGTTTCTGTCACTGTCATCATTAGCTGGGTCAGAGTTCTATGGACTGGAGAACATAGATGGGTAACAATCCGGCCATCTTATTGCTGTGTGACACAGTGTATATGTATGCTATTCTGTAGCCAAGGATCTGTCCATGGTGAACACCTGGTATGAAGAGATGGAGGTAGCCTGATTCATTAAAGAGACGTGAGAAGATTTTCAGTTTTAAATGAGCTAGTAATAGAATTTCACCTTCTGGGTTCCAAAGCACTGACTTAGAAATCCTATGTTGTAAACTGCATTCTGAGCTGGATGGCTCTAATCAAGTCTCTTCCCCCTTTACCTTCAAAGGATGGACCCTGCAGATACAAACCTGAGAATTCTGCTGCTAATGTCACTGGATATGTAACTCTTCCCCCAAATGAGCAGGCCCTTATGAGGGCTGTGGCCACTGTGGGTCCCATTGCTGCTGCTATTCACTCAAGCCATAGTTCCTTCAAGTTTTATAAAGGAGGTAATTATGTTCTTTGTGGTAATAGGTGCAGACACATTGCAAAAGTGTGCTAACACTTGACTGACTCTTTGGTATGCAAGCATCAGGGAATGTAGATACTTTGGTATAGGAATGGAACCTTGTTCCTCAATCTGTACATACAATTCTTTTGTAGTTCAGGTTCCCATTCGATATAATTTCAACCCTGTCTCCATATCCGTACTGAATTTTTTTAAGTATTTGCATCATTAAATGTATGTAGTACTACTGTAATTTTATTCAATTATGGAATATTTATAAATTGCCCAAGATTTTAATTTTTCATATTTTTATTCATTGATTTCTGCCAATGCTGGTTCTTGAACTCATGCCTTTTTCCCCCCACTCTAAGCTGATAGTGTCCCATTTGAGATACTCCTCTTCGTTGAGCTTTTTGCTGGTTAATTAGAGATGAGTCTCATGGAATTTCCTGCTCAGGTGGCTTGGAGCTGCAAGTCTCTGATCTCAGCTTCCTGCTAGTATTATAGATAGGAGCCACTGAACCTGGATAACCTTTCTTGCTTCAAGGAACTCTGAACTTTATGCAACCTCCTAGAAATAAAATGACCAGATTTTATGCACTGGTCTCTTACACTATGACAAGCCTTTTTACCAAGGCATATCTGCTAATATGTATTTCTGTCAGTTTTCAGCCTAATTCCCTAACTTTAATGATACAGTTCTGAAGGCTTACTTGGAGCTTATACCATTTTGGTGAATGTAGAAATACTTTCCTTATTGTCCCTCAGAGTGGGGTGCTGTCAGGTTCCTGTGGCCTCTTTTTTTAAAATTTTTATTGTGAAAATACTGTACAGAGGGGTTACAATTACATGGGCAAGATAATGAGTACATTTCTTATCAAGCATTGTAGCCTCCTCCTTTGTCCTGTGGCCTCTTATGGGCTTTGGTTTTCTTTTCTAGGCATTTATCATCATCCAAACTGCAGCAAGGCCCTGAATCATGCTGTTCTTGTGGTTGGCTATGGATATGAAGGAGAAGAATCAGAAAACAACAAATACTGGCTGGTCAAGAACAGGTAAGAAATGGCCAAAACATGCAGCTTTCCAGGTTCATGACTGTAATCCTACTCACCAGAAGGCTGAGCTCTGAGGTTCAAGGTTCAAAGCCAGCCCAGACTGGAATGTCTGTGAGACCCTTATCTTCAGTTAACCACCAAAAGATCAGAAGTGATGCTGTGGCTCAAGTGGTAAGAGTGTCAGCCTTGAGCAAAAGCAATAGCACTCAGGTCCTGAGTTTAAATCTCAGCACCATCATAAAAATAAATGGAAAGAATTAGGATGGAAGTAAGTATGGAAGCGAGCAAGCAAGGAAGGGAGAAAGGAGGGAAAGGAGGAAGGAAGGAGGAAATGGAGGGAGGGAGCAATAAATTGCCTAACCTATTTGTAGTAAAAATTCAAAAGAGAATTTAATGTGGAGAGTCAGTATTCAGATACAGGCTCCACATACCTTTATTTCACTGGCCTATTAATTTTTCACTACAGAACTAGATTCTGCCACAAGCTTTCTAGGGATAAGCCATTAATATGGTATTTTTACCATTCTGTTTCTAAATTCTGACAATCTTATACCAGATGTGTCCCTTCTGCCTTCACTTTTGTAATCCCATGTAAAGTCATTACTTTGGACATAGGCAAGATGTTATGAACAGATTTAGATGAAGAAAGGATGAAAAACATCTGCCCATCTCAAGCCTCTCTGCTAAGTCTGTTGTCTCCCGCAGTTTTTGTTTTTTTTTTTGGGTCCGGTCGTGGTGCCTGAACTCTGGGACTGGGCGCTGTCCCTCAGCTCTTCAGCTCAAGGCTAGTGCTCTACCACTTGAGCCACAGCGCCACTTCCGGCTTTTTTCTTTTTGCTTATGTGGTGCTGAGGAATCAAACCCAGGGCCTTGAGCATGCAAGGCAAGCGCTCTACCACTGAGCCACCTTCCCAGCCCTGTCTCCCGCAGTTTTAATTGAATGAGATTGTTGCGAAAGCTACTGTGCTTTATTTTATCTATTAAAACGAAAACTTGCTCTTCTTCAGCTATGGCAAAGACTGGGGCATGAACGGCTATGTAAAGATGGCCCGGGACAGAAACAACCAGTGTGGAATTGCCTCCTGGACTCTCTATCCTGTTGTGTGAGATATTGGATGGAGATAAGTCTGGGACAGCCTGTACAAGAGGAAGCATTGTCTTCAATACAACCACTTCCTACTATGTAGGATCTAACCCCAAATCATTGATGATCCAAGTTGGGATGTAAATTTTAAGATAGTTTTCTACTTGTAAGATGATACCACAACTGTAATTATTACCATAAATGATTGTATATATAACTGATTCACTTAATAATGTGTTGACTGGAATGATTAATAAAATTTTAGAGTTTTATAAATATCTTTCTGTTTTAATGTACCTACTTTTATGTGTGTGTATGTGTGTGTGTGTGTGTGTGTATGTCTATGATCATAATTGCATTGGTTTGACATATAAAGATGAATGTACTATTTGTTCACTAGGGGAAGTGAATGGCCTTCTGGCCTTACAGTCATGCAGATCTCTTGAATCAGCTTCCCAGGCCCGTGTCTAAGGCAATAATTGGTTAGAGTAAAATTTGACATAAGTTGATAAGGGAAAATAGTTTTAATAAAGAAAAAAGTGTTCAGAAAAGTAACGAGAAGTAATCATTGTTTTACTACTAGAAAATGATCTGGGGGAATATGTTCATGACCTCCAAAATGGAGGCCATCCAGTCTTGTTATGGCACCAAAGGCTCAGAGCTAATCTCTGGAGTACCTTTTTCAACTGCTGGTAAAGACCTCTGGCCATCTTGCACTAGAGTGCTGGTAGGTTTCCCTGGCCAAATATCACACAAGGATTAAGAGGTAAAGTCCTGATTTTGAAGCTTGTTGGGAAAAATAGTTCCATGAGCTCAGGATGTGAAACATAGAGGGAAACTCCTAAGTGAGACGAGAGCTTCCTTATGACCAAGCTGGAAACAATCCTTACATTATGAGAAAGTTACACAGAAATGACTCCCAGACATCATTAGTATAGAGCAAATAGGTTCATCATCCATGTGTTTTCAAAAGCCTTAAGTGTCCTAAGTAAGCATAAAGAGAGGCTAGAAGTAGTTAGTGAAGTAATTTCATCCTCCCTGAGGGGATAGTAAGGTAGAAAAATGGACCTAGCCCACAGAGCCTACAGCACACTCCATCCACATCCCTCTAGACTGGGCACTGTGTGGTGCTCGATTCTCTTTTAGCTTTCCCTACTACTTGAGATACTGTTTACATTGTAACAAGGACCAGGAGTAAAGTTCCTTGGGTTTTGAATACCAGCAGGCAGTGTGGTAGGGAGACTTGGGAGAGTCACCCTGCCTCTGCAGGATGGGACCCAGATCTGTTACAACTGAAATGTACATAGTACCCACTGAGTACCAGCCATCACCACTGTGGAACACAGTCCTGACCTCAGTGGACAGGTGCTGCTCTACTCAGGGCATGAGGTGGGAGGAAGGAATCAGCCAGAGTCGCGGTCAATGGGAATAAGAGGTGAGCAACTTAGCAGAGACCACAGGTCAAAAACCTCTGAGACAAGGGATGTGGTTGGAGACTTTGTGGAAATGCTTTATTGAGATCTGAAGAGATATTGTTCATGAGAGGTGAGTTTGTGACACATAGCGCCACTGAAGCATGGATTAGAGGACCATTCCAGGCAGTCTTTTCTAGGAAAACAATGACCTAAAACCCAGCAGCCTGAAAAATAACAATGTCCCCCTTTTCTGGCTAGACTCAACTTCCTGGTTTGTCAGTTAGAGTTCTTTCTTCATGCTGGAAATATCTGGAGTTTAGGTTGGTCTGGACATCCATAACCCTTAATCACTGAGTAGCTGAAGATCTTTTGACTGAGTCTTCAGCTGCCTGTTGACCAAAACACACGCAGGGGCCTCTTTGTCCCTTCATCTATCCATAGCATGAACTATGGGTGGTGTAGATATGGTGAAAGTCCAAAATATTGAACAATAAATTTCACAAACTGTCACATGCGTCTGTAGTCCATATGGAAGTCATAATGACATAATTCATAAGAAAAAGTACTACCTACATGCATGGTCTCTCTTCTACAGTAACACACTTTAAAACTCTCATAATACATGTATTTAAATGGCTCGTTTTATTATTGCATATACACATTCAAAAATGATTTATTTGGCACTAACTATGAGATGGATCTTTGCTGGGCTTAAGGATAGACAAGTGAAGCAAGCATTGGGCCTCCCTCCATTTGGAACTGACACTGCCTATCTAGCTCCTCACAACAGTCCAGGAGTGCAAGGTGCAGGTCACATGAGCAGCATGGGGGACCTTGAGCATGTGTTAGGGGACTTAGTGCCCTCTAGAGGTCATGGAAGACATGAACAACTACTATCTGATCCAGACTTTGGGACTTCTGTGTCAGGTGGGAACAAGCCATGAAGAGGATGTTTTACTCTGTGCTGTTTATGTCAATTTGTGTGTGTGTGTGTATACAGTCCTGGATTTGAAATCAGGGCCTAGGTGCTGTTCCAGCGCTCTTTTGCTCAACACTTGTGCTCTACCACTTGAGTCACAGCTCCACTCTGGCTTTTTAAAGATAAGAGTCTCAAGGGGTGGTGCTGGCATGTATTTCATTTTCTGTCCAGGCTGGCTTTGAACTGCAATCCTCAGATCTTAGCCTTCTTAATAGCTAGGATTATGAGCATGGTCTACCAGCACCTAACACATTTTAAATTTTTGAACAATAAATTATCTTCATTTTTATGAAGTATATATGCATAAGCGTATCATTTTTAAAAAAATGTGAAAGAAGTGAAGGACCTCTATGATGAAAACTTTAAAAACTTGAAAAAAGAAATCAAAACAGAACTTAGAAAATGGGAAAAACTCCCATGCTCCTGGATTGGAAAGATTAACATCGTGAAAATGGCAATACTTCCCAAGGCTATCTACAAATTCAATGCAATACCTATCAAACTTCCAACCTCATTCTTCAAGGAAATAGAAGAGGCAATCCAAAAATTCATATGGAACAATAAAAGACCCAGAATAGCAAAAGCGCTCCTCAACAGGAAGAACACCGCTGGAGGAATATCAATACCAAATTTCAAACTCTACAATAAAGCCATAGTAATCAAAACAGCTTGGTACTGGCATAAGAACAGACCTCAGGACCAATGGAATAGAACCCAGAAATGAACCCACAGACCTATAGCCACCTAATCTTTGATAAGGGAGCTAAAAAATAGAATGGAAGAAAGATAGCCTCTTCAGTAAATGGTGCTGGCAAAATTGGTTAACTACTTGTAGAAAACTAAAGCTAGATCCTTATATATCACCCTGCACCAGAATCAACTCCAAATGGATCAAAGACCTCGAAGTCAAAGCAGACACTCTGAAAACATTACAGGATGGAATAGCACAGGCCAAATTTTCTTAATAGGGACCCGGAAACACAACAAATCAAAGAAAGGTTGGACAAATGGGATTGCATGAAGTTGCAGAACTTCTGCATGGCAAAGGACATAGCTAGCAAGATCAATAGAAAACCCACGGATTGGGAGAAGATCTTCACTAGCCATACAACGGACAAGGGTCTCATATCTAAAATATACTTGGAACTCAAAAAATTAAATCCCCCAACAACAAATCCTCAAAGAAACAACTGCCCAATAAATAAGTGGGCTAAAGACTTAACGAGAAACTTCTCTGAAGAGGAAAGAAGGATGGCCAATAGACACATGAAGAAATGCTCAACCTCTCTAGCCATAAAAGAAATGCAAATCAAAACAACATTGAGATACTACCTCACCCCAGTTAGAATGGCAAAAATCAAGAACTCTAATAACAACAGATGCTGGAGGGGATGTGGACAGAAGGGAACCTTACTTCATTGTTGGTGGGAGTGTAAACTTGTTCAACCACTTTGGAAAGTAGTATGGAGGTTCCTCAAAAGATTCCACATAGAGCTCCCCTATGACCCAGCAATCCCACTTTTGGGCATTTATTTTCTTAAATGTTTACAAACAAGACCACACTAAAGCTACCAGCACAACTATGTTTATTGCAGCATTATTTACCATAGCTAAGATATGGAACCAACCCAGATGCCCCTCAGTAGATGAATGGGTCAAGAAAATGTGGTATATATACACAATGGAATTCTATGCCTCCATCAGAAAGAATGACATTGCCCCATTTGTTAGGAAATGGAAAGACTTGGAAAAAATTATATTAAGTGAAGTAAGCCAGGCCCAAAGAAACATAGGTCCCATGGTTTCCCTTATTTGCAATATCTAGTATATGTATGAGTCAAGCAGAAAAGGTCAGATAAGGTGATGTTAGGAAAATGAACCCTAAGATATGTATTTAAATCTTTTTTCTTTCATGCATTTGTTTCTAAAGCATTTATAAGATTATTTCTTTGTTGCTTTGTATGTCCCTCCCCCACAGTATAACCCCTTCTTTCACTGTATTTGATGCTGGTATAATTTGTGGAGGGGAAGGGGAAAACAAGTCGTTTAAATAAGGATACAGGTGGACCTGTTGCAACAATGAGAAGTACAAGTTGTCATGTCAAAAACAAACTTTACAACTTTGGTGGGGGGGGAGGGTTGGCTGGGGGGGCAGAGGGAAGCTGGGAAGGGATGTGAAGGGTAAACAAAGGAGGAGGCAACAATGCTTGATAAGAAATGTACTCATTATCTTGCCCATGTAATTGTAACCCCTCTGTACAGTATTTTCACAATAAAAAAAATGAAAAGAAAAAATGTGAGAAGCCGGGTGCTGGTGGCTCCTGCCTATAATCTTAGTTACTCAGGAGGCTGAGATCTGAGGATCATGGCTTAAAGCTAGCCCAGGCAAGAAATCCATGAGACTCTTGTCTCAATAAACTACCAGAAAACTGGAAGTGGTGCTGTGGTTCAAGTGGTAGAGCTCTAGCCTTGAGCTGAAGAGCTGAGGGACAGCGCCCAGACCCATATTTCAAGCCCCATGACCGACACAACAACAGCAAACAAATAAAAACCCATGAGAATTAAGAAACCACAATGAAGAGGTCAGTCTCAGAGTGAGCAATGGAAGGAACTGCCCCTGGCCAGGTGG